TGGCAAGGATCTCGCCAGCTGTGGCATAGCTCTGGGATGTAGCACTCTAGGGAGCCAGGTCCAGTGGAAACACACTAAGTCCCACCAGACCCTCTGACACACACACACTCCAGATCTTCCAACAGATCCTGACATCAGATCCCCCAACACAAAGAACCCTGCCATCTTAGAGGGGAGAGAAGGGGTCCTGCTTGCAGGCAGGCTGCCCACCATCTCACATTGAAGGGCAGGGTAAGCCACAGCAGGGGTGTCCAGAGGGAACCCTCATCCCACTTTGCACAAAAACCAGGCAGGGCTCTGCTCTGGCCCTCAGGACGTACCAGTGAAGAAGATGTAGTCAAACTTGTTCTCCAGCAGTCTCGTGGTCTCCTCCACGCCAGCGGTCACCACGGCAAAGCAGTCCTGCAACATAAGAGGAAGGGTCCACCTCTGTCAGCATCTGCCCAGGCCACTCTGTCCCTGTCCCCACCAAGAACATCCCAGGCTGCTGGATGTGTGGACATCAGCTGAGTGTGGAGGAAGGAGGTACAGCAGCATGTGAGACTGAGGATGGTGTGGCGCTGGTATGTGCAAGGCAGAGTTGGGAACACCATGGCCCTAGGGCAGGGACAAGGACAAAGACAGGGAGAGCTTCTTACATTGTCCAGGTAGCAGGTCAGCGTTTCAGCAACAAGTCTCTCAGTGTTCTTGGTTGTCTCCGAGGGTTTGACAATGACACAGTTACCTGGGGGGAGATCCACAGGACATCAGAGCAGCAACATGGTGACAGTCAGCCCTTTTGGCACGCCAGCCTGGGGACAAGGTGCCCTTGCTGGTGCCCAGCACTGCCTGGATCCTCCCAGCCAGAGGACAGGTTTGGCTCACCGGCAGCAATGGCCCCGATGAGGGGCACCAGGAAGAGGTGGATGGGGTAGTTCCAGGGTGCGATGATGAGCACCACCCCGTACGGGTCCTTGCGGATGAAGACCGAGTCCAACTGTGTCACCTGCAAGAAAGGCCACGATTTCAGTGCCATCCTCACTGCCTTTTGCTCTGTCTCAGCCCAGCACACAGTGCTGCCTTCCCCAGCCCACTCTGCCCCTCTTCCCTTCCCAGGTCAGCCCAGAGCTTCTG